CATAAACAGCTACATGAAGAGTAGTAAGGAAGTGGTTCTATAAGCTGTTAATGTAGTGTGAAATCTTGAAACAACCCATCTTGTTAAGATGAAAACATATTATTTATCATCATTCAGAAGCTTTGGGCAAAAATATGTTTAGTAACACACATTTGTTAACATGGAATAAAATTACACTGGAGTGTAGCATGGAGTGTATGTGGAGCGGGCATATATCCAGCTCATCTAAAATACAGTCATTTCATGGAAGTGTTAAGCTGTTAAAACATATTGCTATCAAGAAACAGTTGTTTATTATAATAAGCATTGTTTTTCTGCATGACAGAAGTAGGAAAATGTCATTATTAATGCTGTCCATGATTTGGACAAAGATAGCCTTTGTTTCCATCTACTGAACGAGGTATTTATATTCATTGTTTTGGAGAAACTAAAATTGGAAAACTGAAGGTAAATATTTCTCTCAATCCTTTAGCACATTTAAATCTGCAGGGTTCAGATTAAGCAGCAATGCTGGTATGCAGTTAGTCAGCATTATGTAAGGCACCAAACATTGTAAAACAGACTACCAAAAATATGGTGGTGTCACTTTGGCTGAAGAGCTGCACATTTTCCCAGGCCTTCTCTCTTGCCCTTTACTCCATATGCATATGCTGCAATTCATAGAATCATACATTAGTTTGGCTTGGAGAAGTCCTTTAAAGACAATCTAGAACAGCCCCCCTGAAATGAGCAGGGACACCTTCAACTAGATCAGTTTGCTCTGAGCTCTATTCAACCTGACCTTTAATGTTTCCAGGGAACCTCTCTGGACAACCTGTTCCAGTATTTCACCTTTCTTACTGTAGAAAATTCCTTCTCTATATCTCATCTGAATCTGTCCTCTTTTGGTTTAAAACCATTGCCCTTTGTCCTATTGCAATGGTTCTTACTAAAAAGTCACCATATTTCTTCTAAGCGCTCTCTAAGTACTAGAAGGCTGCCATAAGGTCTCCTCAGAGCCTTCTCTTCTCCAAGTTACATAGTCCCAACTCTCTCACCTTTCCTCACAGGAACATATTTCATCGCCTAACCATTTTTTGTGTCCCTCTTCTGGACCCTCTCCACAGTTCCATTCCTCTTGTGTGCTGGGGCCCCACAGCTGGATGCAGTACTTCAGGTGGAATGTCACCAGAATGGAGCAGAGCAGAGGGCCAGAGTCACTTCCCTCAACTTGCTGGCCATGCTTCCTGTTTATGCAGCTTGAGATACATTTGGGACCACTCAGCTCGATGCTGTCTGTAAATATGGTGAGGAAGCACTAGATCCCATTGTCTGTGGCATTGATGAAGATACTAAACACTACTCTTCTCAATAAAGACCTTTGAAGGACACCCCTCACCGCCAATTTCCATCCGGACATTGGACCTGATTATGAATTACCAGCTCCTGATTTCAGTAAGAGTTGTTTTGTTAGCTAAGAGTGCTCAAATCTCATTTCTAGGTACCCTACAGTTACTTCTGCCTTCCTGAAATTCCAGGTCAACTTGGAGTTTTTGTTGCGCTAATGCAGCTTGGCTCATGAAGTACACTCGTTTCCAACTCTGCAGCTACATGGTGCTCATGGAGCCTCAGCTGAATCAAGTGCCATCCTACTGCCGACCCACCTGAGCCACCAGCGCTGCTCCTCAGGGCATGACTCCTGCTACACCAGCAGTGAGGGCTGTTTCATGGCCTTCTTCAAGCCATCAACTCTGCACTTCTGGCTGTGTCCAGATCAGCAGCCACAGCTTTCATTCATAGCCATACCCCAGATTCTGGCATCTCCAAATTCTGTTCCCCTGTGTCCCAGTCCATTAACCCTGCTCTACTCTTCCTCATCAGTCCTGTCTCTACTTTATCCTTATTTACAAATCCCTCTGTATCTGCCTACTGCAACATCCCCTCTGTCTTCCAAGGCTCATTAATGCTCTCTGAGGCAGGCTGAAAGTCTCAGCAGGTTTACCTCTTTGTCTTTAGCTGGCATATTTTCATTCTCTCTCAGGAAGGGAGAGGTGCCAGATCTCCCTGAGCAGCTCTGTTTTTTCCTCCCAAACTCATCCCATCCCAGACTTCTTACAGAAAAGCCACAGTAAACTGCTGAAAACTTAAAGGAAGGATGTCATCCTTACCAGGAGGAGCAAAAGAAGTGCATTATCATGAAATGTCCGCATCAAGTGAAGGAGTCCGCATCAAGCAGCATATGTTCTGACAGAGAATTCTTTCAGATGATGACAGGACATAAAAATGTCTTAATTGGGACTAACACAATGCAATATACTAATTATTTGACAGTGCATAATATCTTTATTTAGAACAATAAAGCATATGTATATAATGTAAATTCCAAATCTGAACTGGTATAAAAAGGGATCTGGGAAAACATCTATCTTTAAGAGGACACATATGTACATACACATCACATTTTATAAACTTTGTTGATTACCTTCAGTCAGAATGTAACTATGCAAAACTGTGCTGACATTTACATTGAAATAAATGAATTTGCCCATAATGCAACCAGCAAACGTCTGTGTCTCTATCACTAAAGAGTCTGAAGTTTCCACGTTCTATTAATTTGATAAAAAAATAACAACATGCCACCATTACTGTAGATCTGCATTTAAGACAGCTGAATCAAATTTATGAATTGCAAAATGTTGGATAATTCTTAAACGTAAATCAAACTCAAAATATCAGTATTTTATGTGTACTGTTAAAATTTCAAATTAATAATTCTGTTTTGTGTACTGAACACTTTCAGCATATTCTGTAGAGCAACAGAGAAAACAGAGCTGCTGCAGATGAGAATCTAAAACATGTGCAGGTTGTACACATACTCCATAGTAAAGCACATTTTATATGCTTATAAAATGACCTCGTGATGAAATAAGTACCATTAATTCATTCAAGTAAATACACATCTAAAGTAGAACAGTTACTCAGTATAAGACTATCTGCTTTTTTATTCTCACAAGGCCACTAGTAATTGCATGCAAAGTTCAACTATTTCAAAGGAAACCTAAAAATGTTACATTTCTCACCAAACCACAGATATCCAAAAGCCAAATTTGGTTGACTTTTATAAGAAAAAATAAAACACCCCTTTTCCCCCCAGTTTTATTCTAAGAGGGAGTGTGTTGATTTTCCAACTATATTAATGTATGGGCTCTGTCTACCCAAAAAGAAGACTGAAAAACTGATCACTCTTTAGTAGTTAAATTTCTTTAGAAGTTGAGAAGCAATTAAAGGTCTATTTCTGCCACCCCATCTCCAACTGAAGAGTACATTACTCTATTTCCATTGATTTCAAAGATGTCTCACAAGTCAGTAGTCTTTCAGAACCTCACTATGTCCAAAGTAAAGATCTCCTCAGTGGACACAGAAAGTTTCCAGTAAATTCACGATGCCACTTCAAAGTGCCATGCCACCTAGTGTATCCATGAATGTCCAGAAGTCTCCTTCTGGGTTGCAAAAGGATTGAGAATACTCAATCAGATCTCTCTTGTGTTCAGATCTCTCAAAATGAGGGCAAAGAATGGGAAAACCATGTGGTCCAACAACAGTTCTGCTACTCCAGGTGTCACACGACTTTTGAACACATTCAAAGAACAGTGTTTGTGATGTGAACGTCAAAAGTATACATGAGCTTTCTTTCTGTTCCCATAGAATTTAAAATTTACCTTGCTCCATGGAAGAGATTAAAGTGTCTGACATTATTTGAAAGTGACTGGAAAGTGAACATTTTCCCATAGTCAATTTTTATTTCTGTTTCAATTCATAACTGATATTTTCAATAGTATTGAAGATTAAGAAGCCTAAAATTTGAATAGGCTGCTTTTGAATATCAAAGTATAATCTGGGGCACACCAATGTGACCCAAATTAAGTGTTATTGAATATTTGATTTTCTGGAAAGAATGCACTTAAAAAAAATTTTTTTATCAACAAAGAACATTAATAAATATAAGATTTTTGTTTTACTGAAGCTAAGGAAAAAACCCAAACCGTCAAATGCATGAGCTAGCCACAAGAGCACATTTTATGAAGTATTTAAGGTTTTCATACAATGTGTAAGGATAATTGCTTCCATTACTGTGGATACTTTTCCATTCAGTCAAAACCAATACACAGTTATTCTCTGCATTACCAATAAGGTGCAAATTTCCATCAGTTAGGTCATGCTGACATTTCTTTTAGAGTACCTCTTAAAAAAGTTTGAAACTCAAAGTCTGAGGGCCTTGTGAGTCAAGAACTACAGAGATTCAAAGAAGACTCAGCTTTATATTGGGAATTCCATTTTTTGAGGAATGCACTTGCTTTTTAGAAGTGATGAGCAACCCTGGTTATTAAGTGGTGAGTGCTCCAGCATCTTCAGAATAAACGTGAAGGCCTAATTCTGACACTAAGCTTCTTTTGATCTAGTCTAAGAGAAGTTCCTCAGGTGATGCAAACTGCAAAGTTCTGTTATTCTTAATAGAACTATGCTAATTTATACCAGCTGAAGAGGACTTGAAGACCTTTTTTTGACAAACAGATAGTGCAAAAAAGGCCTGAGTATAAATAAAAATCCCGCATGATCAAATCTTTCCATCAGTGAATTTGTGAGAAATTTCAACCTTATTACAATAGGGTCAAAATTCCACGCAGTGTAGCTACATGCTACATCATCAAGTATGGTAAGGTTCTGAGATTTTTTTTCTCTTTACAAGTCTGAAAGACAGTTTTACCAATAATACACACAGACACACAGACACACAGACACACACACACACACACACACACACACACGTATATATTAGATGATTCTTTTTATGCATTGTTCTCAGAAAATTGAGCAGAAGATTAAAACTTCCACAAGGACTCTTAAAAAATTTAGTAACTATACATTTTAAGGAGAATTCCAAATTTATGCAAAACTTTAAAATATTTGGTGGTGTTTTTTGGTTGTTTTTTTTTTTTTTTTTTTTTTAGGTTTTCAAGTTATTTAAACTAAAACTCTTGCTGAGCTGGTCAATATCATGTGGTCAATATCCTGACAGACGACAGTTTGTCACCTCATGTGAGCCTTTACCTTTACCCTTCTGAATTTCAACCCCTAATACAGGTAAATAATTCATACTCATCATCTGGGAAGAGATAAGATGAAAAGATGCACAACTACACTTGTAACTTTTACCATGGTATTTTTAGGATTTACTTGAAAATGCACATCTGTACATCAGTCCTGTTCATATTCCATGGATACTGTAACAGTAATAGATGCAGAAGACAGGTGGGAAACAAAGCCTTTCTCTTTTGTTTCAAAAGAATTAACTTTCAAGAGTGGAGAACGCCAGGATATTAAAGCTTACTAATCACTTAAAACACAATGCAAACATTAATTACAGCTGATGTAAGTAAAAGCTAAATACACTCTCAGGATCTTTCAGATTTTCTATGCTATACATTTACAGATAAGGTATAAATGGCATGCATCTTCAGAATTTAAAATGCATTTCATGGGCTTGTCTTTATTGTGATGTTTGAACGCAATTCAGACTCTTTACTTTGCCTTAGCATGACTGGAAATTTCACCAGTGTTCACATACTCAGCAGTTACACTTAATTCTTCAAAGCTCCATGAGGTACATTCACCTCCTGTTTACTTTGTCTTCATCCAGTATTTGGTTCTCCTGAACAGAGACCACCAACGCTGATGAATTCTTGAGGCTTTCTGTGGTGGGCAACCAGCCACCTGGCACCCGATAGAGACCACGTGTTGCTGTACTCACTGCCTTTGACAGGCATAAACACAGCTCCTTATAAGTCTAAGTCTAGAGCACGAGCTCAGGGCATGACTTTGCTTTCAAGTTTTATATACAATATTGAAGAGTATGTTATCTGTATCCGTTTCTGCGTTTTCTGTCAGTTCAGAGACCTTCATCTGAAGACATCAAGGTAGAGGACACAGAATTTAAATTAAGGATGCAAAAGTATTTATGACTTGCAATGATTACACACTGTTGGAGGCATTTGAAAGATACTTTTTTTGTTCAGGACATATTTTGTTTGCCAGAGTAAGCTGAAAGTATTAATGCAATTAAAAAACCTCAAATATCACACAAGGTAGATATTCACATAAGATACAGTCCTGCTAAGTGCACACTCTTCTTGTCATTGTTCAATTCAGTGTTGGTTTCACAGTAACAAACACAAATTGTCCTCATTTCTGTATCATGTCTATGGAGTCATGGGCAGCAACAACAGATGCAGACTCAGTCTGTCACTCCAGAAGGAATACGAATGTGCTTAAAGCTGCTTCATTTATGAAGCGAACATGGAACTGTTACCTGCCTGAAGAGAAAAACAGAAATTTTGATTTTGCTGATTAGTTTTCCTTTCTGTATTACTAAAAAATAGATCTTTTCTCAGACATACAACATAGACATTTTTTCTTATAATTTTGGAAATAAATGTAATGACACTTGCATAGGGATTTCTTTACTCAGAAGGAAAAATGTTCTAAGATGTACTTTCCTGATGCAAGAACACACTTGCCTGCAAAAGCTCATTGATGTCATCTAAGGTAAGGGAACCACTCTCATGTTTTACAGAACTGTTTGGGCATTTTGGTATTGGCAATCTCTGGCAGCAAACTTCCCTTTGAAGTCATCTGGACAAACCGAACTGAGTTTACATCTTTGGAAAAATGGAACAACTTGTCCAATGCAGTGACAACTTTGCTTCTCAATGAGCATATGGTAGAACAAAGCAGTTAAGGATAATGAAAAATCTCTCAAGTTGTAGATAATTCAATCATTTGAACATCTGAGAGTAACTGCTACAGGATGAACTGCAGACTGAGATTGTCTGTTATACTCTAACACTGCTCTTTCCACTCATGATAAAAAAATAAACAGCCCAGTGCTGTCTGAATTTTCCAGACTCTTACATAGATGCCATGGGTTAAATACAGCACAGTTTCTGTGGTAAGCAGCTTCTTGCCAGAGAAGTGCTGCTCTGCAGAGGACAGCTGGGACTGAGAAACCTTACTCACCTTTGCTGCTCACTCTTACATACTAAAGCAAGACTGATGCATCTGATAAAGCTACAGAGACTACAGAAATGTGCTGACTAAGCTACAATTATATGAAAGCTCAACTCTGCTTGGCCTGTTCTCCTACACTCACCTGCTAATTTACCAGATTGTGTTTTTTAGTTCACATTCCTTTGAAACAGCTGTAGTGTAACAGCTGAAGGCTTCTCTGTATCAGCTCTAACACTGAAAGGGAGAAGCAGTAGCTGTGCTTTATGCTGGAATTCTTGTAAATTTCATTTTGAAGCATTCAAGTTAAAAATCAAAGGTCTACATTAATGAAACAGGATTAATTAAATTAGCTGCTAAAGATCTTTTACACTGCTAAATGCTACCTACTGATAGCAAGATTTCTTTTTTTTTCCTGAGAATGGACTCTGAATCACTTTATATTGCAGCAGCTGAAAGTAGTTCAGTCTGTGGTAAAACTCTCACCATAACCAACTTACCAGTACACGAAACAGTAACAGTGTTGAGGGAGAAAAAGCAACAGCTACACTTGTAGATGTTCCTTTTCTTTTTGCTGCAACATACTGGAAGAAAAAAAAGGTACTTTATTACTACAGTAATAGCCTTCCAAGGAAATTGAATAGAAGGGTTTATAATTTAAAAGTTAAAATTTAAAGAAGGAAACCCAAAGAATTATAATTTATGTTTGATATTACTTCTTCCTACTTATACATGAATATTCCTAATTTCTCAGGGAGCAGAAAATTGTAATAGTCATCTATGCCATGTATGCCAAAACACATGCCATATATTTACGAAGACATCTGACAGAGAACGCAATCTGTTTCAAGTTCCTGCAAAGGTCCTCTCCTGCATTTAACTCTGACACCTTTTCTTCATATAAAATATGTTTTGTATTTTCTGTGAAATTAAAAGGAAGATGTGTGTTCCATTTCACAGGTTTTAACACCTATGAGGACGATGTGCAGAATGAGTTATTTGTAGGAACTAATATAATTGGTGAAATGAATACACAGCCTTCCATTCTATATACTGTATATGAAGAAAATTTGTTTTAAGAATATATTACTTTAGCAAGCTTAAACATGGGAAATTTCAGCTCCTGTGACCAAACTGCTAGATCAGAACCTTGCCTATTTGTCCCTTCACCAATGGGCAGCACCGGGCATTTCACACAGTGTGAGAACACTGCAGGACATGTCCTTCTGCCACCTGCATCAGATCTTTCCCTAAATCATTCATAGTTAAAATCTGACCAAACATCATTAAATATGAAACTAAACAATACTCTCAAAATGCTTTAGCATAGACTTATTCTTACTTAAAATGTCCCTAAATACTTTCCTGGATTTCACAGAATTCCTTGCCCCAAGTCATGTCCAAGGAACTTCAAAGACTTGAACTTTTATTTCTAAGATATTTTTGATTCTCTCAGAACTTTCTCTCTTTAAAAATCAGATAATTTAGTGTATAAGTAGGAAGAAAGCCATAAATCATTTCAGGATGACCTTAAGAAGTTATTAGCATTTGATTGAGTTCTCATTAACTTTCCACAAATATTAAAAAAAAAAAAAACAACCAGAAAACATAGTACCCTGGGGAAATTAAAAAAGTGAAAGAACATAAAAAATGTTATTGTAAAAGGTATTTAAAAGGATTTAGGAGCACAACCAGAAAGACATTGCTTTCTATTTATTTATATAACTTCAACCTAGCTTTACAACACACAGCAAATAACAACATTTACTTTATTTTGTTGGTTTTCCTATGGGTTTCAGCAATCCTTTCTCACAGTGGGAATAAAGACAGACAAAATAATATCCTCATAATAAAACACTGTATGCAGAACTATCCTCCATATCAACTTCTGTGCTGAAACCAGAAAGTCCTTTAAATGGCACACTATAAGCACATATTTTACCTCTGCAGCAAGACCTTGTGTTTGGGGTTTTTTTGTGTTTGTCACACAGCTAAACACAAAGTAGTTCTCAGAGATAAAATTACATCTGTAAGTAGAAATTTTAAGTGAAACAATATACCTTATCTCATTTTCCTCTTGATAGTCATGACACTGTGTAGTTTCATCACTTTCTGGTCTGGATTTGGGATGTATTTTCTAGGAAGAAAATGCACTAAATATAAATATTCTAAAGCTATAAATATTCTAAAGTTTTCTTTAGTAACTAAACAATTGTATGTTTCAATTTGCTTAATTTGCTTCAGATGTTCAAAATCAAAGTCATCTTGCAAAATGTAGGCCAAACCTTGTCCTCTGACATACATCTACTACTGATATAAATTTTACTATTGAAGTTTTTGTATTGTAGGCAGGGGCATAAGGGCCAAAAGCAAAAAAAAAGAATCATTTCTAAATATACAATAGGAGAAATGGAAAATTGGGTGAATCAAGCAATTTTTGTTTCCAATTAGAGAGTGATCATGCTGATAAGACAGGATTTGCACTTTGATGGTAGAATTCAAGAATTTGACACACGGATTTACATCTGCAAGTCACAGTTAAGTGGAGATAAAAGAGGTATCACTTGCTTTCAAATACAGAATGGTTCTCTTATTCCCACCTCCCCACAGCTAAGAAATGTAACATCACTATGTAAACAATATGTAGTATCTCTTACCTTCCAGTATAGGGCTCCCAAAATAAAGCCAATAAGGAGAGACAGCAATGATGTCAGTGCTATGCTGATCCCTTGCAGGCTGGAGCTGCTAATGAAGCCAAGTGCTTCTTCTGTAATTAAAGATACTCTCATTAGTGAAGACAGATTTATAGCAGAAAACTGTCTTCAGGGCAACACTATTAGCAAGAGCACTTTCATGCACCACCTACATAACAGCATGTTAAATAGCAGAACAGATACTTCAAAGTGCAATGTACATGAGATGCACTTCATAAAAATCTTACAGCAAATTTTTGACCACAAGGATGCTCTACCCACCTCTGAAACAACAATGTTGAAAAGTACCAACACAATTCTCTTTTTGCCATTTGTTGAGAATCATCTCTTTCCTACACTTCAAAGTTTTGGATTTCTTTATTTTTAAAGGTCTTACTTTGAAAGACAGAGCAATTATTTGAAAAAGAATATATATCAATTCATGCATTTGCATTAGTTCCATCAGACGGCTCCCACTGACTGCAGGCACTTTGCCTTGCCACTAACCAATGACCAACATGAGAGCTCTCAGGTTAAGTTAATTTAACAGAATAAACTCGATCACATCTAAAGCTTCCTGGAAAGGTACCACTGACTTCAGCAAGATCAAACCCTTGTACCTTGAGGTTTAACAGTGTGTTATTTGGTTATAACCATTTCTTGATAGCTTTTAACATTTTGTATAGAAGAGCACCAATCCTATTCTTTTATGTACACAAACAATTCCATTCCCCTCACTGGGAGCTGTCTGCAAGCTGAGACTAAAATTCATCCCTTCAATCATTCAGTCAGTCCCTTCATTCCCTTCAAGGGCAGGATGTGGAAAGTCCAACAGAATCACCTGGGGACCCTCCTTCTGAAGTGCAAAGTGAACCTCAGGAGACTGGTATTTTGTCCACCCAGGTTTGGTTCATTTCAAACTGAGTGTCTGCAGCTCGAATGGTGGGTGTATTGACAGATTACAGGAAAAGAACCAAACTGTAAGCACTGGAAAAGTGTAGGTGATTGGATACATAGAAATGAAAATGAACTGACAGCACTCAAAATTTGCGTGACTCATGCAAACAGCAAATGTCTAAGCACACACAGTATGATATTCTGGGTCAAACAACATGTGTTTAGTAAATTATTAAACAGCTTTCAAGAAAATACGTTAGTTTAGAAAGAAGTGTTCTTATAATTAACTAGCAATTCATTTTCAACTCTCAGATTTTCTTGTTGACATTTTTCAAGTTTTAGACAAATATTCTTTTTATCTCTGAAATTCAGCTGTGTTTTCTAGGCTCAACGTTGTTAGAAATAACAAGACAACATAAAATCTATACCTTATATATTCATTATACTACATATATCTCTGTGTCTCATACACTATTTACAAAGTCTAGGTTCTGACTGCAGGGGCTTGAGTTTCACCTATATCTGGTAGATTCGGCACACTAAAAGGGAACATCAGTCAAGCAGAACTGATGCCAGCTTACCGTGAAAGAAATCTGTCTACAGAAGGGAAAGAGAGCAGACAAAGGTCTACAGAGGTGAACAACAGCTGAAAAAGAGAGGCTATCGATTAGTCTGCCTCTCTCTTCTCAGACATTAAAGCCAAGAGCAGACATTAACTGGGGAGACATAACCTTTCTAACTTTCTGTCTCAGATTAGGCACAGAGGATGTTTACTTGCAGAACTGATCTGCAAGAAAACTGGGAAAAATCAAATGGGTGTAGCCAGCCTGAACAACCCTAGAAATGCTCTCCTGTTGTCATTTATCTAAACTGTATTCTCAGAAGAAAATTCTGATATTGCTCTTGTGCTCTAAGCAAGTAAAAAGCAATCCTCATTTCCCTAATGCCATTCTTCTCAGTGAGAGACTGCTGAGTTTTACAGCTAAATTATGTAAATCATATGGGAATGGCTATGTTTTCTGGATTCCACCCCGCAAACTTCAGAAAAAAATTAAAAAGTGAAACAAAATTTAAACGAAAGACTCTTCAGGTCATGTAGAGCGTAATGTGTTTGATAACATGTTACGGTAGAGTGTATAACCTCAAAAAACGCTCTGCTTACCTACAGTGCTGGGCAGCATGTCATAGCAAGCATGCTCTTTTTTACATGAACTTCTAGAGAAATGTTCTGCATGCAGGATAATCAGTGATAATTTTGTACCTTTGTTTTTAACAGTATTTTTCAAAAATTTAATGCAATTTAAGACAACAGAAGAGACCCCTTTACAATGAGGTATCTAAAACTGGAAAAATCTGATTTCTGAAAAGTTATCTCCAAGGCAGGTGATTTCTTCATCATCTATGGCAAACTGAAAGGAATTTATAATTAGCTTTCCATGTGGGGACACGCAATCCAGGAATCGAGCCTAAATACAGTACCATTATGACACTCTCCTTAGCCTACCTTTCAAAAATGACAACAGATTTTCTTTTCCACAACATGACAGTGTATGAATTAATTTGAAAGTTAAGCAATCCATAACTACCTTAAAAAGCAAGCAAAACCAGAATATTTAATTTCACTTTCAAGTCCAGAAAAAATTCTCTTGAAAGATCTGGGGAGAATGAAATGAGTCATGGCAGGTTTCTTCATGTGCCTTTTATTCATATTAAAATTTAAAACAGAACAGGCTGAAGAATTTTCAGTCTGGAGAACCTCTCAGGGACTTGTCTTAATGATGAATATGGAGAGAAGGAAAGAAAGGTGGCTACCACAGGGATCTTTTCCTCTGTTAGAAACTTTGGAGCTCTACACAGAAAGATTCTGATTCCCATCAGTTGTAAAGGCAGAGCAGGAGAAGCAATAGCAAAAACCAGGTGTACCAATAACTTTATGAGCTCTTTGGGCAATGCCAGAGGAACTGCTCACTCTATCCAGCAGAGTGAAAAAAGGGAGTGGATGCAGGCCAGCATCTCTCAGAGCTCTCAGTCTGTATCTTGTGGAAGATGCCCTAAGGAAGTGATCTCATTTGATGCTGATTTATGTATAGTCTTCATGGACATTGAGATGTTAAGCTGTAAACAAAATATCTTTACATTAAAAGCCACTCAGTTACACAATGAAGTTATTGACCTGCTTCCTACCTTGAGCCATGTGTGATTATGATTGAAAGCACTGGCTTCTTTTTTTTTTTTTTGCCATATATGTCTCAAAGGAATTTCCAGTTTACCTCTGCTCAGTTCCAGCACAATTACCACAAGATCTTATCTGTAAAAATGCAGAGCAGCTCTCACCTGTTCATTAGGGTTTTCCATTAACTATTAAGTTGGAACAACGGAACAAAGGCACGGAAGGCAGGACCAATTGCATTAAGCCATGGGTGAACATTTTAAAATTGTTGTGCAATTACTGAATTAAACTATGGTATTTTTTGCTTAATTAAAAAAGGAGATCTTCTTCCTAAAAGCAGTTACACAGATCTCTGTGTTTACATGTTCTTTGAGGTACTCAGGACTAAATAATAGGGCTAAATTATTGTGAGGAAATTACTGAACTCTTCATGAAATTATAAAGAATGTTATGGCATTCAATTAAAGGAGAAGTTTTAGTCACAGCTAGTAAGTTCAAGCTTTGATCAGAGCAACATGAAATTCATCTGATGGCTTCAACCACTGAAAAGAAGAGATTAGGACTCAAGACTTCTTATCCTGAACCTTCTTCTTTACATAGGAACCAATCTCATCTACATTCTCTAGGCAATGTGTGGTATAATCATGCAGAGAAATATGAGCAAGACTGGAACTTTACCAGCTAATTGGAACTTCAATGGATAACAGTCAGGTAACACAAAGAGGAAAGAACAAAGCAGCCTAAATGAATTTGGGATGGTGGTGCTAGTCTTTTGAGAATTTTATGAGAAATAAGAAAAGATCTTTCTGCTTCTGAGAAAAGATGAAGTGGAAACATGTTACAAGTCTACATTCAATATACAAGAATGAATAAACCACTATTACCATTCAAAAAACAATTAGAATAGCATAATTGTTCTATTTTTCATTTGTCTGGGCTGAGACTTTTTGTGTATATTTAGTTGAGATTCTACTCTATTATTGTAGTTTAATTTTATTGTTGTATAAGAACAATGGAGTAATGAAATATGACTCAACAAAAATAGCAAAAATAAAAATCCATACCTTAGCTAATTTATATAGAATTTCTATGATATTTCACTAATTATTTTATTGGATGATGCACTTCAGGTTTGTTTAAGTTGAATTTACAGTTCAAAGTCATCTGATTACATAGACTGTTTTAATAGACTCAAAATATATTAATCTGGAGGGGTTCTTTTGCAAACACTGAACACTTCTAAATGCTCTAGAAACTATTAAACTGAAGAACAACTCAGCTTAAAACTGTTTAGAATTAAAGGGTTAATTTAAAAAAAATTACTGTAGCTTGTGTCTGAAGATGCTTTTTTTCAGGCTTCCCCTCTTCTCAATGTTTTCCTTTTTGAAATTTGAATTTAGTGGTGCTTTTCTGAGAACAATACTGAAGCCAGGGGACTGTTATGCTGGGGAAGCTTCACAGGGGAAGTATTAAGGTTTATTCACTGTTGTTCATTCCAAGAAGGTAAGGATTAACTAAAACCAAAATTTTCTCAGCAATAAAGTCAAGACCAAACTACGATTGGCACTAAAGGCCATTTCAGGAAATAAACCAGTGATGTCAATAAAGATTCCACAGCTCCCTCCCTGCAAAAAACCTCCAAATGAGTAACTACAGTGTAACCAGTCAACATCCAAATTAATATAATTTAATCTGATTATGAGTTCAAACTGTCCCCTGATCCAGCCAGACACGCAGTCCTCATGTCATTTCTACATAAGGCTGTTAACTGATATCCAATTTTCTAATAAATTGCTTAAGAGAATGATAATCAGTTAAAACACACCTGTAGAGCATATGGCAGCCAAGCAATTAACTGCATTATTTTAATTAGGCTTTTTTCCTACTTGATTATCAGTTCCAATTATAAAACAAGATTAATAATCCTACTTCTGCACTCTCCTCCACAGTACAAACACAGGTGCCACACTCCACTGCACTGCCTGGCATTCCTCCTCCTGTCACTGTACTGGGTCAAACTCCTTACATCTGCACTTCTCCGGTAATCTGTCTGTCTTCTTGATCCATTCCCATTGCTTCAGGCTATGGCTGAATATCTTTCCTCTAGCAATGACAGCAAAAATTATCACACGTTCAGACCTGAGAGAGAGACAGGTATGAATACTTTTACCCCTTCCTAGTGCCTCAGAGTTGGCCCTGGGCTCATCAGGTTATTTGCAGACAGCTCTATGACCTCCTGGCAAGGAATCTACGGCAGTGAGTCTTCTCTTTTCCAAAGACTCAGGCTGGCAGCCAGGAGTGGAGGGGGTTTTTTAATTCCTTCTACTCTGAGGGTTCTGGGCTGTGATGACTTAAGACCTACTCTTAATTAGAAAGCAATCAAGAAGGTCTTCAAATCTGATAGCAGCTGTGAGCCAACTACAAGGTAGCATGCATGGTGCTAAAAGCCCAGAGGGTAACTAGATTACACATTCCAAAGAGAAGGATCATGAGAAAAAGCTCAGGCCTAGTATCGACTGTGTCACCAACAGAAGCTACCATTGTGCCCACTAGATTACATCAGGCTGCCCCTCTGCACATATTTCCTCAAGCACATGGAGTACCAGTCACATACTTCATCATCACACACTCAGATAAGATAGATCTTTGTGGAGTGAAAAGGGAAAATTGTAAAGAGAGCCAGATACAAGATACGTTGTCATCTTGACGTGTCTGGGAAACGAGAACAAGGAAACAACAAGGTTAAACTTTGATCACCATTTCAGGAACCTCTAAGGAAAATCCCCTCTTGTTCACGTGGGAAGCTCCAGATAGTGTTCACCTTGTTGTACATGATGTCACTAAAAGCCCCTGAAACTTCACTGTTTCCTTTCACCTCAGATGCCTACACCCTTTCTGACCTCGTGATAGGTAATGTTGAGGCTCTTACAGCAACCATTCTGGACTCTTATCAGGGAGCTGTCATGCAATAAGTGAGCAAGACAGATAAGAAAGGTGACATGAGTATGCCAGAGAGAAGATTGCAGCCTGCCAGAAAGGTAGTGACTTTGTCATTAACCCCAAGTGAAAGCATGCTGACTTGTGGAGGTGGCCCTACTGCAACTACACCAAACAAACATGGGGACTGGCCTCAGGGCTGGTGTAAAGCTTGGTTGGGATTGACAGTACTCTCAAAATGCAATGTACAGGTATCCTCTTTGTTCATGTGAGTACCCTCATCCGATTTAGGGTAGCTATTCTGTTCATTTGGAGCAACTTCCTTTTCTGAGAGTTAAAATGAAGTGTCTGGCCAAATTTTCTGAGGCCATATGACTAGTGAGACCTCATGACAGCCAAAACGAAGAGGCCTGCCCTCTCCAAGTTGTAGATTGCTGTCACATAATTGTAACTCGATAGCATCTCTACATTTTGATTAGATAAGTTCATTGCATTTCAGTATGACAGCTGAGAAACACATGGTACACCATCAGGAACATGTAACTTCCCATTAATTTGCACAATTAATGACATTTCCTCTGAGCTCTCACAACCAGCTACCAGAACAAGATGGAGACATATATTCAATCACTTGTACTTACTGTTACTGCTAGTGCTACTGCCAATGCTGTCATTCCTAAGAGAGCTGGCAGCAACAGGAGGAAACAAAAATGTTTTTGTGACAGCGACTCTGGAATCTAAATAGAAAATGAATGTGTCAGAATTATGAAACTTAAAATACAGTTCCCTCTATATAAGACGATGGGCTACAGGACTACTCTAATGGGGCTATAGGGCTGTTTTAAAAGCTGGCTGTAGGACTCTTCATAAAGTGGATTAAGCCAAAAAAGGCAGTTTTATTAAGATGCAGAAATGTCTATATGCTGAGCTGCTGCTGAATAGCTAATCTGGAAAAGCAGTTACTGCTTGCAAGTTCTTAAGTTATGGCACTGATCTGCTTCTAGTTACTACTGATGTAACTGTACAACTGGACACACTGACCTAATTAAAAAGCTAGTATCTGTCACTGGAGAGAGTAAAAGAAAAGGTAATACAAACCCTCCATTTACTGGAAGGATAAGAAAGAGCTGCAGGAGCTTGACCTGAGCTTGTTAAAATGTTCAAATGAATAAACATTTCCCTGTTCAGGAAAAGTGGGATGAAATTGAAGGTGACTTGAGGCTGCTGCAATTTACAGTTTGTCCTAACTTCCTCTCCTTTCAGTTGTGCAATCTTAGGCTCTTTTACCGCCTTATAAAACTAAATAGAGCATTAAGAGAAGATAAGAAAGACAATGTAAAAAAGACAATTCAGGATATATTTTGGAGGAATAGAAACAGCAGCATAATGCAAGGTTATTTTGATTATACTGAGAAATGATGTATCTAGGAGTGATGGCGCTAGAACTCGACTTCGAACAGAAACACAACCTTCAGTGTCAGTAGTTATTTTAACTTGCAGTAAAAAGGTGACATGGAGGCATGGTATCAAATCTTTAGCATCTCTGAAATCCAAGGAAAATCACACACTCTTATCTGCCGAGATTCTGCTCCCCGAAAGGAGACCCCTCTTACCATTCTCCGGTGTTCCTACTGTTGAAGGCAGAATGCAGTCATTCTTATCCAATCTGTCTGCAAACTCTTTGTAGACCTCAATGGTACTATTAAAGTGCCTAAAAAAATCCTCAGGAATGAAGTGACCTTCTTCATAAAGGTGACCATTTTCTTTTACAAAATCCTAGAGTAAAATATAGAATTCAGCTTGAAAGAAGGTCAAGGGAGATGCACATTTCAACACCTCAACAAATGATAAAAATACCCAAAGATTATACCAAATTATTTATATTTTTAACCTGCAGACAACCAGATTAGCTGTATACAATCTCACAAAACAGATAAACCTTCTGATCTGAGGATTTCTAATTAGCTTTGCAAATAGAAATGAATTATTAATACAGTGTTGCAAAATTGCTAAGGAATGAAAGACAGTCTCCCATCCTATACTGAAAACCAAGAGACTTTTTAAAATTCCCCTCATTAAAAAAACCCCTTGATTTCACATTACTTTGCAAAGTTTCACATGAGTCTTTTAATCTCAACACATGAACACAACAATCATTGGTATTGTCATCAAGATGATGGGGAACAAAATACAATAGCTGGGGTACACCACTGCTCAGAAACAGGCTGAGATCCCTGATAACAGACCTAAAAATAAGAGCAACTATAAACAAGGAAGCACAAGGAAATCCAGTCACTCTGAGGTCTAACAGACATGTTTGTGATGCCAGACTAAACAACATGATTGAGATCCATGATGATTATTAACGGTTTTCTTATTTATTTTTTTTTTAATGTCAGCAAGTCAAGTTTGGCCTGGGGTTACTCTGTACTCTTAAGAAGGAGGACAGTGGTAAGAACATGGTCTAAGTATGTCCTAAAGAAAACCTCCTGGTTTTGGCTCCAAAGTTATTTTATGTTTGATGCTGAAAGTGCTAGACTTAAGATCATTATTCTCTAAGGAAATCAATAGCTAGTTGTTTTGCTGAATTACAGGATATTTACTTTTCCATTCTACAGAATGAAATTCCTCTTTCTCAACCACATCCCAGCTGAGTGCTTTGAATCATCAGGACAAAAATAGAAAAGAAAAAGATATATACACTGAAGACTGGAGATAATTCAGTTTGAACTGGAAAAGTAGGGAATATCTAAATACAGCAGTGCAATGCAAATACATAGCAAGCTTACAAGGTTATTCCACTCTAAAGGCACCTGAGTGTTTTACTTATTTGATTCATTTTGGGTGTTGAAAAGCTGCAATTACAAAAACTAAGGACTTATCTGATAAAAACAACTGTATATGGAAGATAAAATACTTGCTCTAAAGGACATGGTGTATTTTACCAGTTTTATTCAGTGGGACAAAACTTTCAACTACAGAATTATTTTTAATTAGTGATAGTCTGGTCAGATCTGGATAACAGACTAGAAAATTAATTTCTTCCCCACTTCCCTGCCTGCACAGAAAATCAGACATCTCTTGAACAAGAATCCTTCCAGCTGCTGTCAGAATCCAGAAACACATGGAAAGGGACCAATGTCCTCTGGTCTTTGCTGTGCCTTTATATAAAAAAGTTAATTAAACCATGGAAAAGCTTTTAGAGCTTCACACACTGTGATACATACTAAGAGTATATTAATAACTTTAACCAAATCATCTTTACATTTACATTAAGATCACTAGCAAAATATATAATTTAAGCTGGATACACAAGGAAGATTTCTGCTAGTTTCAAAAAGATCGGAATGGATTAATTATCTTAAGGAAGATCACTGCATTTCTGACTTTAAATAACTGCATACAGGTCATTGTATTTACTGTAATTCCTTGAAAAAATTTTTCTTTGAAACAGGAGATAAAAATTAACCAATGTTAGCACAATGTACTCAGTGCATTTCTAAACAAAGTAGGATTTCAGAAGCACAGGAATAGAAATGAAAGCAAATCTAATAAAGCCTTGGAAATTCCTAAACAATTACTGAATATTGTGCAACAGAAAGTAAAAAATAAGTATCCAGTACAAAAGCTGTAACTCTGCATAAAATTACCTTGTTTTTGTCAAAAGCAAGGCATGCCATAAGATCATTAATTATCCTTGTGAGATTATTGATGATTGAATAGTTGCTTAAAACATCCGACATATCTGGAATATCTGAAAATTTCTGGAGAAGATTATGTAGACTTATTGAAAATTCAGGCACCATCAAATGCAACCAACAGTGACTAGGCTGTCAGGGGATAAAAAGAGAAACAGATGTAAATTAAATATCAGACATTTGTAAAAACTGGTTAAACATCTCAATGTGTAAAAGTAAATTAGACTGTTCTTTCCAATTTAAACTATCTCAAAAGTACAAATTACAATTCTTCTTCTTTAATGTGACCCATTTTCTCTTCGTTCCTTTTCGTAATATTTCTATTCTGACTGATACTGGCATGTTTATGGTTGTTTGTTAAATGCCATCCCTTCATTAAATTATCATTGAATGCAATGCCAAGTGTCAGTGTGTTGAGCATTTGAGCCTTGGAACATGTTACTATGAACCCTAGTCCATGCTTTCATTAACCTATTTGTTTTCTTTTCAATTCCTACTGCCTTAACAATTCTTTAAATATCAGTATTCATTTATTGCCGTTACCTTACATGACTCAGTTGACCCCAAAGATCCCTGATTTAAATTTCTTTTCAGGAGGGTTTCCATAAAAAATTTGCATGAAATCCCTGTGTGCTTTTATCCACCTTTAAACTTTTTAGCTGAGTTAATTCTTTCTCTTCAGCTTTTTCACTAAATGCCATTACTGGGAGCAGTTTCTAGATCTAAAAGCCTTTCTTCTTCCTGAATCTTTGATAACAAAAGTGTTTTGCACAGCCTGTCCCTGTATACACTAACACCTGTGCAATTAATTTGCAGACAAAGTTTGTACATCTGTTCACATGACTGAAACCTGATAATTCCTTGCTGTCTTAGAGGAAGTCATTAACTTCTTTTAGTTAGATATATATAACATATGTAACAGTAGTCAAATAGAGGAAAAAGTCACCCAGCCCAGGAAAATTCCTAACATGGCATGATCAGCAAAAATACAGGTAATGCATAAGTCAGAACTGCAATTTGTACCTGTAAATACCTTCCCAATAAAAGCTAATTTTTTAATGGCAAATGTTATGAGAATTTATTCCATATATAACATTATTTTTCCAATATTGAAAATGTCTCCTTAAAGACTTCCAGATACAAAGATCTTGGCCCAACAAACCCAAAGTACTCTAAGTATCACTAAACCAGTTTCCAATTGCTGTGCAGTGGATAGGCAGCACCCACTGAATCCACCTTCAGCAACACACAGCAAATGTTTGGCAATGTACACACTTCTAGGCCTAATCTCATTTATTCAATTTCTTCAATAAACCTGCATACAGATTATTAAAAGAAAAAAAAACCCAACAAATCCACAGGTGTTGTTCTTTGATGTGTAAATGTTTCTCACAAGAAAAAATACACTTCACATTTCTGAAGACTAATCAGACTATTAGGCTTCCAGGCTTAGAGAACCAAATGTAAATACATTGTTCAGCTCCACTTGAATTTCCACTTCTGCGTACAATTCTTTCACACAATGAAAACCTGTGGCAAGTAAGTGATATCACCTTTTGCAATTATCTCAACAATGACTTAAAAAAGAAAGAAACAAAAAGCAAAATGATAGTATTTGACTCAAGTCTGCTTCCCTTTTTTCCTTCGAGGACAGTAAGGTGAAGGGGGAGGCAGAAGCAAATAAATCAGAGAAAGTTTGTTGAAACATATTCTGTTCAAGCAGCATATGTTGTGCCGTGTCCCACTGCCCCCATGAGACAGGCAATGCATTTTCTTTCTTCTGCTTTGGGGTGGGAACACTGACACAGAACTAACTACTGTGCTTCCCTGAACTGGAAACCTTGAAAACCTTTACCTTTGAGGTTTTGTGGGTGAGCATTATCCTCTGGCAGGGACTAGCATGAGCTTGCTGCTTCTTCTAGTGAGCATTTGGCAATTCCAGCAGGGAGCCTATTTTGCTGCTCCTGTGGTTTAGCATGTGTGTGGGAGTCTCCTCTAACTGAACTGTTCTGACCTACAAAGCTGTATTTCACAAAAGCTCTAAGTTTTCTTTTCAGTAACGTCAAGCTGTGCAATCACTTCCTATGTCAATACCTACCAAAAACGTGGTTAAAACTGCTCTAATTGAAAAAGATGACGTTATTTGCAAAGAGAAATGGAGGCTTGACTCTGATATTTTGTGTAAACTTTGACCAAGATTTACATTTTAGGGCAATTGCAAATGTGATTTCCCTTGTACTACAGAGTTGCTCTCATTTGGCTTTTACTTTCTACATCTGTGTAGAAGTTTAAAAGTTATCTCCTCTTCTGAATTCAGCCCTTTACTGTCATCTCTGCCTTTTAACCTTCAGGTTCGACTACACAGTTCATTCTATACAAGACTACTTTTAAAGCCACTCAGTTGCCTTGAGCTAGTGCATAATGCAACAACCCTTTTGTTTAATGGATGGGTCAGTCTGTTCCTGTTACATGCACTACACTGGCTTCCCATCTGCTTTGTGTTCACCTTGCCTTCCTACCTTTAGTCATCTACATTTGGGGCTTGCTACCTTGAGTACACTTCCCACTTTATGCACGCACTGAAGATTAAAATCTATTGAAAAAAAAATTGCATAGCACCATTTCTTCAGAGCTGAGCAAAAGGCATTTACTTTAGGCATAGTCATGGGTTTCCCAGCTTGCATGGACCAGAGTAAAGCCTACTTATCCCTTGCTGTGGTATGCATAACACAACCTGAAATTCCCAGAGAAGAATTTGGCAAACTGAATACTGCTGAGTACTTTCTCCTGTGAAGGCATGTGGCCAAGAGCTGCACCTGCCATTACTATGACTGAAAGTGCTGTGCAAAGGGAACATGGAAGTCTCAGCTCTGAACTTCTTCCTTTTTATTTCTTGGCTGCTTGCTGTAAATGTAAACTGGATCTAAATTTCTGGATATGATACCTCAAGATGACATAGTACTGAAAAGAATGGAAAAGAATTTGCATACTGGCAGTCAAAACTGAACCATGGAGAGAGGCAAGAGTGAGAACAACCAGGACTCATTGCCCAAGCAGGTTCCCTGGCCTTCTTCATCTGCCAACACCCCCAGAAGTGCAGTGGAGGGAACAGCCTCAATCCAGCCCAGCTAATGGGCTGGAAGCTGGGGAAAGGGCACTCAAGCTACAGCTGTCCTCCACAGATGTGAATGTCTTCACATCAGACACCAAGATCAGTGAATTTCAAAAAGCCCAGCAGTCAGAGGATGGTGGCAGCCAATCTTGCTTCCTTTTTCTCTAAATATTAGATATTCTAAGAAATGGAAAATTTTCTATTAGTTTTATTTATATTGGACCTAGTACCTGACTTCACAGCATTTATTCTGCAGTTTTCCTGTCTAAAGAACCAACTTTAAACTGGGTTTTTCAAAGTACTCTAAGTTTTAGTGAAACCCTCAAGCTTCCAGCAAAACTCTTAAAAACACTTCTACATCCGACATAACCCTTCATAACCTCACAACTCAGTGCCCTTCACTATCCTGCACCCTCCTTTTCCTCCTCCCATCTTCTTGTTATTCAGGATTGAATGTTGCTTCTGGCATAATTTTCCAATATCAATAGGGAATATTGCTAGATTTGCTACATTGTTGTAGGGTAGGACACATTTCCATAGGTTTATCACATACAAATTGGATTTTTACAGTGAAAACTTTGTACAGACACAAAATCAGTTTCTTACTTCCAGTAGATATTTTTCAGCTACTGATGTATTTGTACAGTGATTAATTCTTAAGACAGGCACAGTGTTGTTCAGTTTAACTGACAAAATCATAAGTTTCTTACTTTTCTCCTTGCCTTAAAACAATATAGCATTCAACATAATTTGTACTTTCAACTTGTTTCCTTTCCTCCTTTTTATTGCAGTGTATGCAACAACCAAGTTTTCAATACAAAACTTCAAAATGGTTTTGCTAAACTGAGGAAAACCAAAAAATATGTAATAGATTGATCAATAAAATAATAAAATTAAAAAAAATGTTATACAATTTTAAGATGTATAGATAATGCTTATTTGAAAGTACCACTATGTATTAAGTATGGGATTATAAAGAAAAAATAACACAAAGTATGTTTGAAATTCTACTGGTTTGTTTAGTTACTGACACCACCATTTGCTGAGCTTGGGGCTCGGGCTCTCTTTACTGGCTACTTAGTATTTTTTGTGCTCTAGTGGCATTTCCACTGGCTGAAACAAGAAGGACTTCTAGAGTATGTTCCAAAGTACAATTACTGAGAACCTATTTCTTTAAGAAAGCAATATTTTTTCAATTGACACCATGAAATAATATTGACAAAATAGTAACACAATGAAAATTTAACTTTTCACAAAAAAATAAGTTAAAAATTTAATATGAAGAAAAAGACTTTCCTAGAATCCCTGTAATTATAAAAGTTTTAAGGGACTGGGAATCGCTCGACATTTCTATTAAATAAATACTTGGGAACCATATGAAAAGTGAAATAAACATTATTTAACTGTAACTTGCTAAGACATAGGACTAGGTACAGAATGTTACAGCCATTACTGGTTCCAGTGGCTGTTTTATTGGGAATAACCTGAAGTGGTTGTACATACCAGACTATCCATCTTCGGGACATATTTAAGGGTTATCATATAATCATTTGGGAGATTTCCAACCTAAATAATAAAAACAGATAATAAAAATGTTATTACTTACTACCCAAAGTAAGACTTTATTTCCATTACTGCATTCAACAAAATCTACCAAATATCAACACAAACTTTCAGTAAATTACCAGGTGCAGGCAAAGATGTTTACTTACATGCTTACTTTCCTGTGGAACTGCTACTGACACTGATTTATTCACAAGTGAACTACCTTTCCACGGCTCTGCAATATGCCCAGATCTGATCTGATCATGGTCAGTGCTACTGCTTCCCAGCAAAGTTAAAGTCAACAATGGGTTGAGAAGAAGTGATCTGATGTTTTTCCTTACTGCAGAAACTCCACTGCCCTTCCGTCTTTCAATGCCTTGAAGTGTTTACATGACAGCTTCTACTATAGACAGTAGAGGACCCAGAAGTATCTTGTCCTTTTTCCTTCAAATAACATCCAACTTCAACATCCATCTGAACCTAAATACTTGCCTGCCTTGTGCTTAGTTATGTACCAGGTCAGAAAAACACTTGAGTAAAACATTAACTTTGCAGTTGTGCTTCTTAGTAATGATGAGTAATATCATTATATCATAGCAATGTCTTGGGGCAAAGGTGAGCTTCCACACACGTAAGATGCAGCTTTGCAGAAGGGGGTGAGCACAAAGTGTGCTGCAGCAAAGACAAGGAGTGGAAGAAGGGTTCCCACTGAATTATCCTATACAATCTGCCACAGATGGGTTCCAACGCTACTGTGAGACATAGTTGAACATCTGGGGAATGTGCTACGTTGGGAGATGAACAGTCCAACAGTCACTGGACTGCCACAAATCCACAGGTTTTTTTAATATTCTTTCAAAAGCATCATAATATGACGCTTAATAATACAATAAACCTATCTTCTATCAATGAAAGTGTCAATTGATACTTCTTATCCTGGTTTGAAATCCACATAGTCAAAAGCAATATGCACAGATGTAGCTCTTTTGGTGCAAAAACATTTCTACTTCAGGTTAAAGATCATTCTGTTATGGCTGCTTTTGATTCTGCTGCTATAGCAACCAGCCCAGGGATTTCTTTTCCTCCTGAGCAGTTTTTAGGTAGTATTTTGTTTGGCAAAACATAATGTTTTATTTCTTAATTAAAAGTTTGTTTCAATTAAAAATTAAACCAGCTATTTAAAAACATTATGGTTCTAGAAATGATCAAGGGCAATACTTATACACAGCCAAACACAAGTGAATTCCAGACATATTTTGATTTATGTGGGCTAAGATACAATTTTTCAGTTCAATGACATCTACTATTCTCCTGCAGCTTTAGAACAGTTTCTGTAGAAATGACCCTTAAAAATTTCCTCCCATAAACCAGTTTTTTTTCTTCTTTTATTCTTGTTTTATTTTTATACCTACACATTCCCAAAGCAGAAGCACCACTAAAATTCTCTATATTAGTTTCTATTTACCTGGCATTTTGGTGAGTTGATTCAAGATGCTATAAATACTGAAAAATATTTCAACACATTTGTTCTTTCTTTAGAGCATCAGATTTATTCTAAATCCTCATCCAAATTTTTTATCTATTATTCCTTCCTTTAAAACATCACGGCATCACAGCATATGAATACGTATTCAATTTTTTTTCTAGCTTCCTTTGCATGCCTAGAGAGGTAGGATTAGCAGCACTTTAAGGAGTACAGATGGTGAAGATGCAAAGTTTCCCATACTCACTCTAGAGGGATTCCACACTTAGCAATGCCAGCAAAACCACTGTTCTTTAAGAAAGGTCACTGGAAGATTAAATTTGTTCCATATAAATGAACACTACAAGAATTGACATGCATTATGTATAGAATCTACTTTCCTGGCATCAGAGCCTCTCAAGCACTTTTCACGCACAGTTAAAAAAATTTAAGTGCCCAAGAGCCCTTACACCTTCTCAATCAGAGCTGGAGCAAGCAGCTCAGCCGCAGATATATCTCTCCTTGACAGACTGTGAATCAGATAAGATATTTTTGAATTTACTACTAAAAATGAAGATCACTGGGAGGAGGGTGTCAAATACAAAATATATGCACTGCCTCAAGACAAAACCTGTTAAAGTTTTGTTGACTGAAGTCCACATGTCAGATGCTGTGCTGGTAAACGATGGATCTCAGTCAAAGTGAGGGACTTACATTTGTATTGCACTTGGACTTCCCAACTCTCACACAGAAAATAGGGTAAAACCCCTGATGTAAGAGTGAAAGATATGTCTGTACTAGGTCTGCATTTTGTACACCCTTGCTTTGCTGAAATGAATCTTGAAATTTTGTTGAACACTAACCACCAAGACTCTGATCCAAACGCAGCCACTGGATTTTCATCTGCTGAAATGATCCTGAAAGGAATGAATGGACTCTGCACACCCACTCACTGAAGGGTGCCTGACTGCTGTGCCTTCCAGCAAGGAGCAGATGACAAGGTGACTCTGACCTGCCTGAGCAAAGATGGTTGGAAAAGAGCTGTTCCTTGAAGCCACCTGAGTCCTGGAATGGCTTTTTTATTAGTTCCCCATCTCAGCTCCATGAGTACAGTGATAAATCTGGGGGGCCACAAAACACCTGCCTGCACAACTTACCTTGGTTTAAACAGAAGTAACAGTTTTGATAATTATAGAAGTAACAGTTGGTTTAAACAGAAGTAACAGTTTTGATTATTACATAGAATGTCAACTGATAATCTTGCAAAGCAACGTATAGAACCAAAAGCATTGAACTGGTATTAAAATGTCATTAAATTTTTCTCTGATTTAGTGGCTGTTTGTGATTGCAGATAGCCTAACAGGCTGAGAAGAGTTAAAGAGCAGGGAATCTAGCTCTTTAAAGAATCTTTAAATCCATATAAAACCAACAGTAAGTGCTATATTCCCAGTTGTAACAAAATCTTAAACTGGGGAATGTAAGATTACTTTTGACATAGAGAGGTCTGAATATTTAATACAGGACTGTTAACGTTGCATAGCCCAAACATGTTTTAAAAAATGTTCATGGTCACATAGATGTGGAGATGAAAAAAGGATATAAAAGTAATTTGGGTTCCATAAACTACTCTTTCATTGCAACAGCAGACATAAGAGATGACCTATCTGCAGTCACATCCTTTGAAATGAGGCCTACTGCTCTTGAAAATTTCTTTTATTGTGATTTTAATGAAAATTATAAGGAGAAAAACACAGATATAATTTTTATACACATATAAAAGATAAAGTATGTTAATAAAATAAAATTACCATTTTCCATAGTCAGTGTTTTCTTATTTACTCTGAAGCATATGATGGGAAAAAACATACTTTCCTTTTGGATATCATTTCTACCTTGAATTTCTCTCTATTTATTTCCCTTTTCCTGTTCTTTTCACAGAATAATAGAATGGTTTAAGTTGGAAGGGACCTTACAGACAGTCTGGTTCCAACTCTCTACCATGGACAGGGTCATCTTCCACTACACTGGGTTGCTCAGAGCCCCATTCAACTTTGTCCTGACACTTTTCCAGGAAAGAGGCACCCACCACTTCTCTGGGCAACCTGCTCCAGTGCCTCACCACCCTCACAGTAAAGAATTTCTTGCTTACATCTAATCTAAATTCCTCCTCTTTCAGTTCAAAGCCATTCCCACTGTCCTAGCACTACATGCCCCATGTCAAAAGTCCTTCTCTAGCTCTTTCTCACTGGCTTCTTTTCCTTCAGGAGATTCCACTGTCTATCCTTCATCTCTGCAATCCACTCTATTTCATCTGCTAATGAAGCAGTTAATAATATCCTCATCATTTGGCTTAAGACAACATGCTAACGATTTCCGTTCACACTTTTTACAGTCATAGTGGCAGATTATTTGCAACATAACAACTCTGGATCAGTTTTTATAACCCCTTCACTAAGGAGAGTTAAATCCATTTAAAAATAAAAATCAAACGTGGCAGAGAGTGTACATATTTACAGCAAAGATGTAATGTGAAAGCAAAGTATTTGACAGCATGTCTCCAGCAAGGAACTGGTCAGTAAATCCTGATTATTGTTTGGGTTTCCTACATTAAAAGAAGAAAATTACAAAGAAGAAAATTGCTTTAGAGAAGTAGTTCATGGAAGAAGAGGTATTTTAGATTTTGTTAATGAACAAAACAAAAATATGTAGGTATATTCTGTACATACTGCACAGCCCAGTGAAAATTCTATTTATATGTAGGTTTTGATGTTCATATTTAACAAACATATATAAACAACTGATTTCTAATTCTTATGCAAAATCAAATGCACAAATACAGAGATGCAGTTTTCTGCTGACTTACTGTGCTGAAAAGAACAATGGGGACAGACTTTATTGACAGGTGCTGCAATTACAGTTTCATAATATGGAACATTTGCTCATCAAGGAATGTGCTTCCCTCCAGACATGTTCATTACAAAAGAAGCAGGAGGTCACGTGGTGAGTAGTGCAGAATGAATGTTTTCTAAATACTTTCATTCTCTATCGGTATGAAACTATGCTCTTTTGAACTTCTCACCATTAAAAAACCAAAAATGATTGTTCAATTGTTCTTTGCTTCTTAAGATCATTTTGCTTAGGATATATTCTTCATATGACAAAATTATATTACCTAGATGTGAATAAATTTAATCCTACAAAGTATACAAGTCATTTTTTCTGCGAAGAGATACCAGTCTGGTTTGATCTTACATTGACTAATGGTCAGAAACCTTATAGTTATTGAATTTCTTTCTTTCCAATTCTTTATTCTGGTGTGAGTCTAGCATGGTGCTAGTGAAAATCCAGATTAAGAGCACTGAAAACAAGTTACAGCAAACATCTGTCCTCAATTTATTACTCAAAACAAAGTTGATTAGGCAAATGACCCACATTTTCAGGCACTGCACAGCATGCCTTACTAATTCTCCAATAGCTTAGGCTTAGTAGACATCTAATGTCTATATTCACTCAGGGTCTTGACTGAGGCATGTTCTCATATCCCTATAGTACAATAAAGTTGAGCAGAACACAGCCACAGTCATGCTCAGGAGTTTCTACAAGTGATGTAGAGGGTTTACAGTACCAGTTTACAGCAAGCCCAGTGCCAAATAAACAAAGATTGGATAGGGAATTGTGGCACTGTTTAGCAAGCTGTAGGGTGCACTGCAGTAGAAGCGTGTGTGTGGGGTGGGGGAAAGCATACTGGAGAAAAAGCCAAATGAGGGACATGGATTCATACTGCAAAGAATTTTAGCATGAGATAGGAAGAGGATGGGCATCTGCCTGGAGTTCATCAAGGAGCATTTTTCCGGCAACCACAAACAGTGTAACAGATACCATGGAAATAATGAGGAGAAGCTGAGGGCAAACTCAGCATGTGTTATGACAACACAGGCAGTGTTAATAGTACCTTTGAAGATAAACCCAAGAAGCTTGCCATTGATAATGGAAAAAAAAGGAGGAACAGCTTGAAAGAAATAAGTAGAGGAGAAAGGGTCAGAGCAGCATGTGTACAGATAGAAGAGCAAAATTACAGAAGCTGAAGCTAGAAAAAGATTTTTCATAGACTGGATTTTTATACACCAATAATTTGGAAGAAAAATGTACTTGTTTGTCCAGAGAACTACAAAAAATATTTCTACTATTATGACAAGAAAAACAATGAATGTTTTAAAAGCGAACTTTGAAGGGTCTGTGAAACATCAAGAGCCAAATCCGACACCTTTGTTGAAGACCTGAATGGCTGGGGAGAGATGGTGATGTAACTTTACAGTGAGGAGAAATAGCCCAGGACAGACTAACATTTTGGGGAGATGAAAGAGATCATACTCTGCCTCTGAGGAGGACTCATGCCAAACTGAAGCTAGGCTCTAGACTAGGTATGCTTGATAATTTGTGATGAGACAGGAGGAGACTCCAATATCCTTAAGTGATGGGATCTGTGCACTACCGCTGAACAGATAGTTTGTTGCACACAGAGATGGGGCTATACTCACAAATGTGGACAAAAAGGGTTAAAGAACATGACAGTCTGACTGAGAATAAAGCTTACATCACTGTGTCCAAATGTGACAGAGTTTGTGCATAACATCATAATAACTATGAGCAATAACTGTACACCTAACACTCCTGTGAAATCCTCCGGGCTACAATTTGTTCTCAGTGTGAAAGAAAAGGATATTTATTAAAGACCCTATGTTCTACAGGCACAGATTCTTTGGATGAGAGAAGAAATAAAACTCAGAGGCCCATAGAATCTCCAGACAAAAGGGAAGACTGTGGACCTTGTCTACCTCAGTTTCAGTAAAACCCTTGATACTGTCTCCCACAGCATATTCCTGGAGAAGCTGGCAGCTCATGCTTTGGACAAGTACACCTTTCACCGGGTAAAAACTGCCTGGATGGCTGGGGCCAGAGACTGATGATGAATGGTGCCACAACAAAGTGTGATTAGTGTTCCCCAGGGCTCATTATTGGGGTCAGCCAGTATCAGTTTATTCATTTTCTTTATTGATGATCTGGACAAGGAGACCAAGAGCACTCTCAGTCACTAAGTTGGGTGGCAGAGTTGATCTGCTGGAAAGTAAGAAGGCTCTGCAGGGGGAGCTGGACAGGATCCATCAGTCAACTGGGACCAGTTGTCTGAGGTCCAGTAAAGCCAAGTGCAGGTCCTGCACTCATCACAACAACTCTACCCTGTGCTACAGGCTAGGGGAACAGTGGCTGCCTGGAAGAAAAGCACCTGGGGGTGCTGGCTGAGGGTTGGCTGAATATGATCCAACATGTGCCCAGGTGGCCAAGAAGACCATTGGTATCCTGTTCTGCATCAGCAATACTGTGACCAGCAGGACCAGGGCAGTGATTGTCTCCCTGTACTCGCCACTGGTGAAGCCAGAGCTCAAGTCCTTTGTCCAGTTCTGGGCCATTCACTGCAAGCAGAACAACAGAGAAGGGCAGCAAAGCTGGGGAGGGGTTGAGAGAGTGACTCATACGAGGAGTGGCTGAGGGATTGGGTTGAATTTTGAAGATACACATCATCAGAATATCACTCCTTAATTCAATGAGTATATGGTGTTTCAAAAAGCAGAAATGGTACAAAATTTTTACTTCAATTTGCAAGAGTTATAGGGTCACCTGAACCATATTTTTAAGTAATATCAGGTTGGAGTCCTTTTTATAGGTACTAAGGATATAGCTCATAGAGCATAAAAAACCCTGTACTTGCTAAAAGGAGTATGATCAGTCAGTATGCTCTTTAGGCTTCTCCCTCCTCATATTCACACTGTCAGCTAACAAAGTTTTGTTTTAAAAGTACTTTAAACCTCATTATGTATTTTGATATTTTTGTTCTCAATGTCTAGTTGCCATGTTGTAGAATTTCAAAAGAGAATGATCAACATGCAATTTAGTCACATTAATTGAAACAAAGAGTTCTTATACTAAATTGATACTACTAAACTTATTTTCACCTTATCCTTTTAATTCTCAAGTGACTTCATTGTAACTATTTCTGCAAATATTAACACAGACAAAACAGGAAGACAGGCTTTCCTCAAAACAACTCATGCAACTCAAAACAGAGAGAATCTATGTTTTGCATCTGTCTGCATCTGTCTGTTATTTCTCCAACCCAAAGTATCTTTGAACTTGTTTGGAAACTTGACCTCAATTTTGCATTTGTAGGGTGATCTGAAAGACACAGGTCTAAGTCAGGAGAATGACCACACAGCATCCTCATGAAGGAGTGTCCCAAGTAGCTCAGCCCAACCCCACTCTACTCAAGCATGTCAGTAGCAGAACAGGGTAACCTGGACAGTGTGATTATTCAAGCTGCTTGCACATTTTTTGTAATCTGTATTTGTATGATTTTGAAATTTAAATTATACTACAGGGAAAGTTAAAGCATTTGTTTTCAGGACACATAATTGACAAAAAGTTATTACTATCCCTGCACTGCACAATTTCACCAGCCCTCACAGGAATTCTGTTGTTCTTGCATGCTGTCAACAGGTTTACATCAAAGCTTAATACTTTTCCAAGAGATTAAATATTAACTGGAATAAATATGCCAATACTTCAAAATTCTGCCTAAAGGGACTAATTTGAAGCACTAAACTTTTAAGTAAGACTATAGAGCACACCTAGAGATTCACACTATGTGCCAATGTGTATAAAAAGGACCAAAGAAAACAAGTTAAGAACACTGCACAGGCAGCAAATGCTAGGAGTATTAATATAAGTGTTTGACAATAATAACACAGATGTTGCAACTTTTTTCCCACAATGAAGCCACAATTTTCAGCTAGATTCAATATGCAGATGAAGATATGCTTGCCAAGTGTTCAGTATATATTATTTCTTAGAAACCTTGGTGTTATATCCTGCACTACTGCAAAACAGCATAATTATTAACTTCAGTGGAGCTAAACACCAATTGACTTCACAAGCTGTTTTTCAGGTTAATGCAGTGGTAAATTAAGTAACAGTTAAAACTTCCTTAAATGAATTTAGTTTTTATATGAAGCTGTGAGTCTTTCAGACTTAAACTTCTGTGTACAGCAAGCAGAGAAACATATAATGTGTGTAACCCACTCACACCCAAAGACTGCAAAACCTGTTCAATTGTTATTGCTTTGACTGCTACAATGATGTGTAATACCACTCTATTTTTATGTGTGCTACTTGTCTTTCATATACCCGAAGTAAAGACTTCTGCTTCAGTTCAGCTCTGTTTGCTGCCAGTCTGCTCCATGCAAGTCAGTAATACAAAGACAATAATCTTTCATCTGCATGGGGAACAATCTGCTCTGAAAGAATGTTTGAGGAAATAAAGATTTTTGGCAATTGTTACTGAAGTTTGGAGTCAGGAAACTACATATGTACATACACTCCATTTTGGTCAAGGTAATCTCTTCAATTAACACTGGAATTGCTTTCACTGCAAAAAAAGATTTTGTTCAAGTGACAGATGTTGATAGATTTTCTTTTAATATTCCCCTAGTTTCAATACAGATTTACTAACTTTGCTTAGAAATGTAAGTGCCCTTAGACGCTGACAATTTTTTAACATGAATAATGTAAAATAAAAGGTACTTACCAATTTTGCAATGTCATTCACATCATCTGTGACTGGATTCCCGCAGGAGCTCTGGGCTTTGACAAGGGGATTAAGTAGGAGGAGTTGAAGACAAAAGCAAGTGATAATCCAAGTCTATTTAGTAAAGAAGAAACAAGAAACCCCAAGTAAGCAATTGCCAAATATGAAGCAACAAGAGATTGCAGTAATGTTTTTCATATGTGCTGTCTAGAGGTAACAATACTCTTTATCCTTCATGAAGGCATACGTCTACCACCATTACAGCATCACCTTCATGGCAGGAATCCATGAAAATGCACTTAATTGATCTTTTCTGGAAGCAAATATCTTTAGAGTGTTAATGGAAAACCTAGTGTTGAGCCATTAGGTTACTTCCACAGGATCATTCTTAACTGGGTTTTTGCAAAGTTTGCAATGAAGAGAAAGATACAAATCTTGCAATACTCTTTATCATCAAAATACAATTGATTGTATACTTGTCATTCACTTGATAGATCTGTGGCTCTAATGTGATAAATGATAAGGAACAAAATTATACCAGAGTAGTTCAAGACAAAAGGAGAAAGTTCATAATCACAGCCATTTCATTTGAGTACTTAAACTGCAAGCAAACCCACTACTGGACTCTGCCCAAGTACTGACATCTCAAGCAGCAATACAGTACATCTTCTCCAAGTGACGTGCTCTGGCCTCTCAGATGTGCCAGCTTGGCTTTGGCACTACATTCCCCTCTAAATCCTGCTGGAAACAGCAATGCAATGTACTGACACAGGCTTGTGAGACTCACACAGAAAAGCACCAGATAACTAGCTGCAATGCACCTGGGTGTCTCCTTGGCTACACTGCCTGAACTTCCTTGCCTTCTGTTGTTCCTTGTGCTTCACTGGTTTCCCACAGAGCCCTGTGCCAAGTTTAAGCTGCAGATCCCTAGTTCCAGAATGTTAAAGCATTTAAGTTATGGATAATCAAAAGTTGCCTCGGGTTGTGAAGCCGCTTCTGCCAGCTGACTGAAGCTGTCAGCAAAAGCCGATGATGGTGTACATTTACGGCAAGTATGGAATTTGCCTGTGCAGGCTCCTCAGCCTCCATAAGGGCTGGACTGAGATCAGGATTTGCTTTTGCACAAACTAAGACACAGCTCAGCCCCGTCTGTTCTGTGTGACAGGTAGAGAACTCCAGCCTCCACCCTCGCCTTCATGTGCTCTCCAACCTTTCAATTTAAGAGCAAAGCAAATGAAACAACAGCAACACAATTCTCTAGCAAAGCAAGAGAAAAATCACAGATTAAAACAATGTATCATTATATTAATCTAGAAGGCCTAAGAAAAAATGATAATAAAGATTGCTCAGGAATTTCATAAACTTGACAGAACAGTGCCAGACACTTTAGCTAAAAGAGCTGTTAAATGACAAGAGTAATCTCTTTCTTGTATCTTTTATCTCTTAAATCTTGTATCTATCCTACAAGTAAAACTGATCGTTTGCTTTCTTAGAATACAGCTTCCTGACATATTTAGGTAAAACCAGTGTGGGTTGCTGGTAGAAAAGACAATCCAGCTTCCTCTCCCTACCTCTTGCACTGGCAGAGATGGTTTTAGTCAGTTGTACCAGGCAGACAACTTCCATTTTTGTTTTCCTGTAGTATTTTTCAGCTTTCTGATCCACGTAACTGACACAGCTGAAATACTCTGTCAAAGATGAGGCAAGCCAGGACTGCTGATTTCAATGGAGCCTGCACTTGCCTTCCCCTAAACTGTACTCTCAGACACCACAGAGAAAGAAATCAAAAGTATTCTGAGCAAAGTGCATTTACAATATGCATGTCTTTTGAGAATGTCTCTTGCTTCAACAAAACTAGCATTTAGAAATAATTTCATTTTAATATTTGTACAAATAATTACTGAGAATAATTACCAAGGTGAAGGATTGAGAATAATTAATAGTCCATCTTACAAAATGTCTGTGTCTTAAGCCACAGAAAGCTTTGCAGTTATATATATATGAACAATTTGAGCTCTGGGGAAATGCAAAGATGCTGCTAGTTTTAGAAAGGACCTTTGAGAGCTCCTTGCAGTGTATAAGAGCTCAAAGCTGTTTAATAACTGATTTCAAGTGATCAAGAGAAATGTCTCCCTTTCTTTCATAAGCTCCAGAATCACAGAGGAAACAAAAGGTGACCTCAAGTTAACAGGCTACCTCCTCATTCACAATTTTTGGAAATAAATTGTGGTAAAAAAGGCAAGAAGTTAATGACACCTATATACGGCAACTATACTATAACTATAATGATAATTATACTGCTTTCAAGAACAAAAACTGAGTAGTTCAACCTTTGGAGTAGACCAGTACATTAGCAGTTACACTGGCAGGGACTTTTCCCTGACGTCTTCGTTGGAGATGGAGTTCACACCAGGAACTGACAATTTCTTGATTGGATTCCTTAGTACTGATCAGTATGTAAAGATGGAATTTTTTACTGAACTGTGTCCTGGTCATAGGATGATGTTAAGCGCAACAGTCTAATAATCAAAAAAAGTAACAAAATTCTTTAACTAGAAATGCTTTTTCAGCAGATCAGCTAAATAATATTAATAAACACATTAGCACACTCCAAATAAAACCAGAACTTTGATGCACCTTGTCAATTTTTGTACTTCATTATATAATTATGCAAATAAATAATAATACTTTTTCTCCTATGTAAAAGGGATGGGATTTAAAAGCATAATAATTTTATAACTGCTATTAAAACCAAATAATTTGTAAATTTTGAGATTATTTGAGGTTTTTCTTGCTTATTTTCTCCCTGTGTCATCCAACAGGAACTAAAAAAATCTTCAAAATACTGCTAGTTTCAACATGTCTATTATACAAAATCTTTTAATTATTTGCACTTACAAAATATTTACATTACGCATGCCTTCAGGCACATTATATGTAAAGACTGTACAGATGAAAGGGTTGAGCTATTTTCGTGTTATTTACTAATGACCAAACCTGCTGTTTGAGCAAAACTTGAATAGACTGAATTAAATCAAGGACAGAACAAATGGGAACCTTAAACAATAGCTTTATAGACAGAGGTGCCCATTTTATACTTTACTAAGCACAAATAAAAGTTACCTACACAGCGCTCATAACAGATTTCCATATCTAATTACCCCTAAGTTAACATGGGATTTTTCAAAGCTGGCCTCAGAATTTAATCACACATCATTTATTAGCATTAATTTGAAGATATATAGTAGACTGGAGGCAGACCTGCATACCAAAGTGCCTCTTCCTATTTTTGGCTCAAAAATTATTCAATTGTCTTTAGATTCTAAAATCTCTTAAATACTAAATATTTATGTTTGTGCAAGGGGAAAAAAATAATGATGAGACTCAAAAGGATAAATAAAACTAAGGATTTCAAGTACACACATTTGTTTATTCTGCAAATGATTTGCACTATTGCTTGTAAGCCACAATCTAGAATTTCAGCAAACAGCATTTTAGAAACTCAGCTAGTGATCCAATGTGTTGAAGACCACCCTTTCAGCTGTAAATCAACATCCTTTTCATTCATTCACTTCATTTACAATCTCAAGTGTTGAAAAAGGCTGCTGAGTGAGTGGTTTAGCATCTCTTTCACAATATGCTATGAAAGATATTCAATCACGTTAATGCTCAGCTAATTCCTTAAGAGGAAAGCAGCAAGGGGAATACCACACTGCTAAATAAACCATACTTTGGAAAGTCTGGACATTCCCAAATATCTAGTTTGTCCAGATAACACTTCTAATCACAAGAAGGTTGAAGACATTAAAAAAAAGCAAATAAAAAACCACCAAAAAAAAAAAAAAAAAAAAAAAAACCACATTAAGCACAGGGAGAGGTAGTAACTACACAGATGAACGGGTTCTCCAGGTTAAAATTTCTTATATTCAAATCATATTAGCCATGGAATTTTTCAGCCCAGTTTCCTGAGCAAATCACCACAACCAAGCCATAGCTGAAGAAGGTTAGCTGACAATGTGAAACAATGTTCACCCTGGGCTAGGCTTCCCAAATTTATTTTCCACTTCTGTTAACATTGGAGTAGGAACATCTTGCAATATTGGCCCCCTCAGACAGTTCACATGCTGCTTTGCTGAGACACAGCTTGTGAACTTCTGCCACAGGCAACCCTGGCTGGTCAATCATGGACAGGTAACTCAATGTTCATACTTCTGCCTTGAAATACCTTTTTTAAGAAGATATAGAGAAAATGTAAAGAGCAAGAAAATATATTTCTTTGCTATTTTTTTTAAAGCACAAAGCATCCAGATGCATAGAAGCACAGTAATTTTTCCTAGGTCTATTTAGTTATCTAGCTGTGATAGAGATTAAATAATTAAAGTCATGGAAGAACTGTCTTAAACCAATTAAGAAATTAACTGCCAGAATAGAAAAATCTTTAAATGAAAGAAGAGCATTTATACAGAATGTAATCCAATTACAATTTCCATGGTATTCAGTGACACCTTCACACTGCAAATGGCAGTGCTAACTTGAATACCCAACATGGCCATACCTAAATAGTCCTTAGAGTACTAAACGTTTCTCAAGCCCCCGAAAAAGTGAGTTAAGTGTGGAAAAAGAAGTCACCCACTTAAGACCACCTAGTTCTGGAACAATGAAGTACTTGGCAAGCACATTTGGAACTGGCAATGTCCCCTGCACATTCTCAAGTACCCAGGAAATTACTTCAGAGTAGCTGAAAGAAGCACTGCAGAATAAAGCATAGTTAAGGATTAAGTCTAGTGAAGACCCCCTGACCACCAAAACTGGCCCTAGTCTCAGCAAATACAATAGCCTATCAACTGGAGTTCTCTCTGAGTGACAGACCTGGGTTACATTGCCTGCAACCAAGGTCATTCCAACTCATGGGAGGTGAGCTGGGATTCTCTGATATATCTACCTTGTAATTACCATGGAGTCAATAGATTCATTTAGGTTGGAAAAGACCTCTAAGATCATCAAGTCCAACCATAAACCCAGCACTGCCAAACCCACCAGCAGACCACATCCCCAAGTGCCACATCTACACATCTACACTGGAGCTGATTTCCTGTCTATTATGGCTTCCTGGC